CACGGAGTTGTTGGAATGCAATCGTTTTTGGGTGCAATTTTTTTTTGCAGATTTATACAACCGTTTTCGTTGGATTTCTCTTGGTTTTTTTCTTAGAATTGGGTGGAGCCATGTTTTCTTTATCAATTTTGGTTTCGTGATCAATTAAAGAAATATCAGGGGGGACAGTTTCTTTGAGTTTATAATACTCATGTCGTCTGATTATATTTGAATAGACATCTCAAAGTTGGTATACAATGTGTTCCCAGGGTGTGAGGGGAGNTGTTTGGTAAAAAAATTCAGTTTTTACGAAAGAAACTTGAACTATCAAGATTTAGATGATAAGGTTGACCAATTGTGGAAACTTATTTACGTCAGAAAATATTTTCATAATATAAATATAAATTTTATTTTTTAAGACGTTACATACTTTTATAAACATTCTTAGCTTTTCTTTGTCTTTTTTGGGTAGAGGAGACATCTGAATTTTTGCCACATAACTCTGATCATCTAACTCCTTAAACTTTGCAACAAAATTTCGTAAACCTTGATAGAAATAAACTATGAATTCTGTTAGATAAAATGAATTAAGTTTTAAATATTAAACGTTTAAACCATCGGGTTGTAAATTTATACGGATTAGAAAATTTAAGTTTGTTAAAAGTTTCGCCCTGAGGATAAATAATGAGCCTCTGTTGGCAACAAACATTTTCTTTTTGTTTGGAACTATGTTGGAAAACTTTTGACAGGAAAACCTTTAATATTTAAGGAACATTTTATAAATATCAAAAATATCAAGAAGAATTTTATCATTGTCAATGTTTTTGCTAAAATGTTGTAGGAAAAGAAACCCTTATTAGCAGAAGTTAATCAATAATTTAATTGCGATTATTTTCTTCGGAAAACTAGTCATAGTTGATAGTTTTTTGATTTATTAGTTTTTTTTTGCCTTTTCAACATTTCCCAATTATTTCCTTATTTTGGTGATTCCTTGTTTTATTTCGTTACGTTTTTATTCGTAATTTCTTTCCAACCGCGGTTTCACACTTGAGTAAAAACTGCGTCAAACAACTTGGTCAAATTTGTCTACATATTTATTTGCTAGAATAGTTTAATGAAAAATTAGTGATTTTAAATTCGGCCCCCTTTTTTTTAGGGGGGGGGGGGGGTGAGTGTCCGGCGGAGTTTTTAATTTAAGTTTTAGAGTTAAATGCAAACATTTTTGTTTGACGTAGAAAGTTTTTTCGCTCTTTTTTTGAAGAAAATCGTTGACATTTGTCAACAGAAAACTGTAAAATTAATTAGTTGATGAGTCATTAATTACTTAATTACACAGCAAACGGATCCTGCGTGTTGGATGCTGATTAGTCAGTTAATTAATTAGTTAATTAACTCGGGAGAAAAATCAAAACAACAAAGAACAGTTGAAGGTGAAATGTCATACAGTGTGACCCATGAAACAGTGGAATAGGAAGATATATGTATTTGATGTTGTTATAAAGCAAATAGTTTTACCAGTGTTCGAATTTAATGAATTTAAGCCGCGTCTCAAATCCAAAACCTGTTTCAATTAAGCACCGGCTTAAATCTTGAAAAATTGAATTTAAGTGGAACCAACCATATTTAAGCCGCGGCTTAAATTTAAACCGCGGCTTAAATTTAAACCGCGGCTCAAATTCTTTAAATTCGGTCTTAGTAGCTTTAAAATCAACTTATTAAGTAAACTGGTTCTGTTTCCACTGCACATTTCCGTGTTTCGTGTTCATTGGATTTAAAATCATAATTTGAGTATAAAAGTCGTCTGCCTATTCGAAAGTTTTATGGGAACCACCGTATTATACAGGGACTGAGAAATCAGAAGTTGAAAAATTCTGTGACCCCCCCCCTTCCCACTGTTTAATACTATTGTTAAAGATATTGTACAATTAGTTTTGAATTGAGGTCTTGTATTAAAAGTTCCAATTTCTCTGATTTCTCCTAAATACCAAGTTTAATGATGATCCAGTACTGTCTGTAGTGCCTAGAGACATGTTTAAACCTTAATGTACATTGGAGGGGGGGGG